GTATTATACCTTGATTCTTGATGGTTCCCCTGCTGCTCAACATCAAAACCATAGCCGTCCAGTTGGGCCAAGTAAACGAGCCTGTAACGAAAACAGACAAGCCCAATACTAAAAAAACAGGCCAAAGCATAGCCCACAACCCATAGTCTCATGGGCCAAACTGGCCTCTCGTCTTTGGACACTATGAGAGTGTAAACCGTTAAACTAATTTGAATCACAAGTGTCAACAACTCCATTGCCATCCATTTTTTCGAATCGAACGGGTTGGGCCCGAGGTCCGACCCAGACCCGTTTTGGTAGTGGAAAACTCTTCGAAGAAAACTGTACCACCTTGACCTTGATATCTTCATAGCCAATCTTATCAACATAGGAGGCGAGTTTCGAGACGGCCTAGCTTGCAGGTTCCTATCGATCGGGAAATTGGAAACTGTACTTCCGGAATCGCATAATGAGTCCGGTGTGAAAAAATATCTTGTGCTCATTGAGAATACACCAAATTTATTTATTTTACAAGTTTATTCACAGCTTAAGAAACTGAAAAGGGGGTGTGGAATTAAAATGAGGGAGAGTTAGAGAAATATGGTTTGGGATGGTGACCAAGAAACAAACGGTGTTGCTTTGATTCAAAGTGAGATGAAGAGAATAAACCAATACAGCGGTTGGCCTAACTTACGGAGGTCTATTTGTTCAACAACCACTAACCAAGTTAAGGTGTAGGCTATGTGGGTGGGTTCTTCAAGCGCACACAAAATTCTGATGTGGACTAAATTTAGAACAAACCATTTCTTTTGTAGCTTGTGATGTTGATACTGGAATTAATTATTTAGTCCTATATCTATCTATCTATATATATTTGGAAAATACTATCATAAAAAGGATGAGAGGGGTTTTGTACAAAATTGAACTACATAAAAATTTCTTACATTGATATATTTATAATGACAAATTAGTAATATTTAATATTTAATATTCATTCCATTTTATATTTTTCAAATTAATAACTAATATATTCTATATATCTAAAACACTCTTACTTTGACATATTTGTAATGACGAATTAGTAATACAGTAACGCACGTTATATCTTATATTTTTAATAGTAATTAATATTTAATTAATTAGACACCAATACACGAACAAAAATTTTATCTCTCCTAAAAATCAACCACAGTATTCTCACACATTATTGCTCACGAATTTGGTTTCTTCAACATATCACCCCAATTGCTTTCTGCCATATCTGCCAAAAATCAAAGGGTATCTTATGAAAATCTAACGGTCGGATTTTGATCAGTATTTAGAAAACTATTGATCAATAGTTAGTTTTTTTTAGGCTACTAACCAAAATCCGACTGTTGGATTTCATAAGATTTACTTCGATAGAGAACTCGTCCTCCAAGCTTTCAAATGATACCTCCCAATCGAAAATCGGATATCTTGAATATCAGAAAATTTGAATTGAAATTTTTTCTATACATACGTGCTCCTGCTATCTTCGTGGATCGATTTTAGAGGTATCAATTTTCAGAAATCGACAAACCATACCTCATTTTGTTCGTCTCGCCATGGGCTTTAAAAGCCCTAAATCAATTTTAAAGATTGATTTAAATTCATCATTAATTGAGTTAAGAACTCTTTTGTGCTGTATTAGGGTTTTCAATCGATGAGACAAATTGTCAATTTCGATTACATTGGGAGGCAAATTGTCAATAAAATAAAATCATACCTCTGACATCTTTCAATTCAAATCATATATTTCAACATCATCCAAGTATCCAACACTCTTGTTAGTTGGAAAAGTGTGTAAAAAAATTTCAATTTCTTAAATCCCGAGATAACTTCACATTTGTGGCTTTATTCAAGTTTGCAGTCTTGCTTGAATCAATTCATATGCTTATACCACATTGTAATGGTTAATACGAGTGGATGGTCAACATATGGACTGATATTAAACCCCAAGGATGGTACACTAGCATGATAATTGATATGCCTACCCACCTAAACTAAGGCAGAGCAGCCGAGCAGATGGGATCTTATCAAGCTGAAGGAATCTCGTCCTTCATACTCAAACTTAGAAACGATCCAAAGATGTTTAATAACTGTTAAGGCAATGTCGATCGACTGCCAAGGTACAATGTATAACAAGCTTACAAACTGTAGGAATCTCTAGCTATCTAAGTTGATTTTCACTGCGTTGGAAGACCACCTATTAAGGATTATGTTACCCGTGTTAAAAGACCATCAGTCTATAATTCTGGTTGACGGATCAACAATTTATTTTTAGTGAGAAGTTGCACGCACCTTTATGAAATTGATGAATGAAATAAAATTACACTTACTGAGATTTCCTTTCTATTGTCATTAAACACTACAAGTTATTCAACATTGAATAGTGATTACCCAATATTGCAATCAGTATTTATTGGAGCAGTATAGTCACTTGTCTAAAGACGGTAGATATTAATTTTTCTACGTAGACAAACGTATGCAACCAATCTATATCCTATAGCCATAGCCAACAAAACCCAAACTTCTTTGAGTCCACCATCAAGATTCACTGTGTCGAATGAAGGCGAACTCTGTAGATTCCGGCAACCCCATTTGCTCTCGCACTCATACAATTGATCTCCCGAATACTGCACCTTCACCAGCAGCCTGAACCCGTAGTACATGAACGACACGTACTTGAGCCATTGCATGAATTTTGGAATATGCTGCAATATAAAATTAAACATTCATTTCACTACTCAAAACATAATTGCTAATTATTTTGTGTGTAGGCATTCTTCCAATATTGGATGTTAATAATTTATAATATTTTGTCACCATCAACATATATGTATACTTTTATCATCTGAATTTATCCAAACACTTGAGCTAAAGGGAAAAAACAACCAAACAACATGTAATACTGTAATAGCATACCAATTTTATTTATTTAATTGAATTTTTTTAGTTTATGTTATGATACCTGAACGTAATATCCACCCGTGAGAAGAAATAACATTAGTATAAGGGAGGCAATCATGCCGGCCCTTTTCACGCTCATCACTGCTGCTCCAAACAGTTCCCCTGCTCCCTAATAATATCACATAATTAATTCTCATCATCATTTCATTTCGATCAACCTAGCTAAAGAGGGAATATAATAATAATATAATATACCTGGCTAGTTACAGCTATCAAGAGTATTGTGGCTAAGGTGAAGAAGAAGCACTCGACCGTCCTCTTGAATCCAGCCATGAAGTAGATAATGCACATGAAGAAAGTCGGGTACAACAAGTGAGCCACCATGTCGCATAACGTACTGCTAACGTAATACACACTCAACCTGTACATATCCGCCTTTCTCTCTTTCACCAAATACATTTTCTCAAACGGGAAAACGTACACTGCTCCGAATATAGACGACGAGGTCCAGAAGATACATATGTAGAACAAAAGCCCAATCTACAAATAATAATAATAATCAAAACTATATGATCTTGCTTGCCAAATTAAGGTGGAGATTTTGGGTGCTGGTGAAACACACCATAAAAGGGTGAGGCTAAGTGCAAGTTAGTAAAGTTTCATCTCAAAACCAATTGGTGATGGAAAGAATAGTCCACTAGGTTTATAATCTAGACTCATTTTTTTTTTTTTTTTTTTTTGNAATCAATGTGGGACAACTTTTGTACCTGATCTCTGAGTTGGGCTTCAGTTGTAGTGTTTGATTTCCACCAGAGAAGGCCTAAGAGAACGGCCACACCAAAAGATTGGACTAAACGGAGCATGTCAAAGTAATCCCTCCACCGTTCTTTAAATGTTCGCTTCGAAAGTATTCTAAATTGTTCAAACCAAGACAAACTCCAATCTAACTTAACTTGGACGCCTAACTTGAGTCTCTCGTCCACCTTATTTGTCGTCCCGTGATTCTCCTCCTTCTCCTTCGGCTCCAGCTCAACTTTGTACTTGTGTTGTAGATACTGAATTTTCAATCCAGTCGACCCAATCAAAATGTTTAAATTTCAAGAAAAAAAAAAATATTTTATATATTCAATGTTTAAAAATAATACTCACTCGTATAACGACATTTTCAAACTCGGCGGGCTGATCTTGAGAAGTAAAGAGTTGATCAGGAACACTGATGTCTTTCACCTGTCCAGTTGCCAAATCTAGCAAGAACTCGGCCGGGTTCATTGCTATTTCGGGAATGAAACTCAAACACGTGAAATATTCCATCGACTCTCTAGCTTTCCCATAGTAAACTGGGTGACCTTCAGCTAATAACAAGACCTTGTCGAACATGTGAAACATCCGACTCGACGGCTGATGTATGGTCGTCATAATAGTCCTTCCTGCCTAATGGAACACATGATGAGATTATTTTATTGGGAATTGCTACAGTCCATGATTTAGTGGTTATTATTAGCCTTTAGATATACTAATCTGTATTGTAGATAATCCATGGTTAAAATATATCATTTCGTGATGAGACTGTAGTCATTTCCTATTTTATTTTTTAATCAAAACTAATATGAAGACATTGATATATATATAGTTGTTTTGAGATTGATGAATGAAAAAAGGTAAAATTGGTTGATATATATATATATATATATATATATATATATATATGTAATTATTTTGAAGTTGGTGTGTACCTGTGCAAGAGCTTGAAGTATTTGTAAAAGTCGATTAGCTGAGGTGGAATCAAGACCTGAAGTTGGTTCATCTAGAAGAAGTAATGAAGGGTCAACAAGAATCTCATGTCCTATGCTCGTTCTTTTCCTTTCACCTCCTGATATGCCTTTTATGAATCCACCCCCTACTCTCGTGTGCCGGCATCTGCACTTCTTATCATCAAATCAAAATCCTTTTTAAGTATTTCTTATATATTAAATTAAATAAATACAATTTTAGTCCTGTAAGTTTCACTGTCCTAATTTTTTTGTTCTCTTCGAATTGTGTTTTTGATTTTCATCATGTATGTTTGCAAAAAAGTTACAAAACAGTCCTTTTCATACACTAGTAAAGTGCACGTGCGATGCACGTGGTGACGAATGTTTTTTGCCGATTAATTTTAGTAAGATAAATTAATTAATTTATTAAACATATAATTGCAGTAAGAAAAAATAAAATGTAGATTAAATAAACTCTTAATTATTTTTTTTTTCAAAAATAATATAATGATGTCACAATATAAAAAAATTTAAATAATATATTACAACCTCAACAAAAATATATGAAAATGAGTCCATAATAAAAAAAACACTAAATAAGGACCTATGTATATTATAGATGCACGAGTACTTTTATTTATTTATGTAGATTCAAGAGTGATTTTCTTTCATTCTAATTTGATGTTCTCATAAGAAACATTTATACGTTATATTCCGATACATCAATAGTATTGTTAATTTTTTCTTAATTAATTTGGTAAAACGTGTGCTTTATTCAACACTTAGAGATACTTTAGCCAAACATATAGTCAAACTTCATG